AGGACTCAGGGAATGGGGTTCAAAGTGCCATTGCTTCCTCCTGGGGAATAGATTATACCAATCAGTGCAGTGAAAGATGTTCCTTGACTGCTTCTCATTGGTTACTTCCTCAAAGGACTAACCTCACTGAAGGTGTTTATGGCTGTGGTGAATCTTCTTACACCCCTTCTAGGGAACCCAATTCCTTGATTAAACCAGATGTGAGGGGGGAGGGGAGTGATATCGGGCTTATCCCTGGCAAGCTGTGGGATGGTATGAAAAGGTTAGAGGGACAGGGTGCTAGTGAGGCCTCTCTGCAGGTGACTCCAGGAGGTACCAGATGTGCTGGAACACGTCTGCAGTCTCACAAAGATGAGCCAGGGACTCCTGAGATAACAGAAGCCAACATGGAGACACCAGGGAAGTATCTCCAAGGTACTGAGGTGTGTTCTATAGGACGGAGACATGACTGAGAACCCAACTGAGGTGCCTTTACACCGATGCACACAGCACGCACAACAAACAAGAGCAGTTGGAAGCCACTGTGCTGCTGCAAAGTTATCACCTTGTTGCCATTACTGAAACTTGCTGGGATGAATCCCATGATTGGAACGCAACTATCAATGGCTGTGGGCTGTTCAGAACAGACAGGAAAGGAAGGAGAGGTGGAGGGGTTGCCCTCCACATCAAGACAGGGATTATGTGTGAAGAGCGGCCTCTGAAGAACAGCCATGCGCAGGTTGAAAGCCCGCAGAGGTTGAAAACTGAGGCAACAGGCTGACTCATCAAGGGGAGCCTGCACATGGAGCCTTCCTGCTCCAGCTACAGAAGGGAGGGATGGTGCTCACAGGCTCTTGTCCTGCTGGGAGACTTCAACCACTCTTATATCTGCTGGGAAAGTGGCACGGTGATAGACAGCCCTACCAGAGGGATGGGTTTGATGGTCACCAGTTTGAGTGAGCTGTCTGGGGATGTCAGGACTGGAGGTAGCCTGGGTTGCAGAGATCATGCCTTGGTGGAATTTGCGGACTTGGGGAATATAGGTCAGGTAAGGAGTAAAGTCAGGCCCTTGAACTTTACGAAGGCAGACTTCTAGCTCTTCAGGGAGATAGTCAGTGGGATTCCCTGAGAGACTGCCCTCAGGAACAAAGGAGTGGGACAGAGCTGGCAGATCTTTAACAAGTCTTCCATATAGCACAAGAGCTAATAATCCCCAGGAGCAAGAAAGTGGGCAAGGAAGGCAGAATACCTGTATGGTTGAGTAGGGGACCTGCTGGTCAAACTGAAGGACAAGAAGCAAATGAATAGGCAGTGGAAATCAGGACAATTAATCTTGGAAGAGCATAGAGATAAAGTACAATTGTGCAGGGAGGTGGTGAGGAAGGCCAAGACAAAATCAGAAATGCCTGGAAAGGGCTGCAAAGAGTAACAGGAAGGGCTTCAACAGGTATGTTAATCAGAAAAGGAATGTCAAAGAAGGTGTATCCCTTCTGACAAACAATGCGGATGAACAGGTAACAATGAACAGTGAACAGGCTGAGGTACTGAACAATTGTTTTGCTTCAGTCTGCAATGGTGACCTTTCTTTCCACACCGCTGTAGTGGAGGGATGACAGGATGAGGACTGGGAGAGCAAAGTTCCTCCCACCATAAATTGAAGATCAGGTTCATGACTACTTGAGGAAATGGAATGTGCATAGGTCTATGGGACCTGAGGAAATACATCCCAGAGTCCTGAAGGAAGTGGCTGATGTAGTTATCGAGCCACTCTCCAAGATATTTGAAATGTCATGGCAGTCAGGGAAGTCCCAGGTAACTGGAAAAAAGGAAACATCGCTCCCATCTTTAAAAAGGGTAGAAAGGAGGACCCTGGAAACTACCAGCCTGTCAGCCTCACCTCTGTTCCTGGGAAGGTCATGGAACAGATCCTCCTGGAAGCTGTGGAAGGGCACATGAAGGACAGGGAGGTGATACGAGACAGCCAGCACAGCTTCACCAAAGGGCAAGTCCTGCCTGACCAGCCTAGTGGCCTTCTAGGATGGAGTGACAACATCAGGGGACAAGGGAAGGGCTACAGATGTCATTTGTCTGGACTTCTGTAAAGCCTTTGATGAGGTCCCCCACAACATCCTTGTCTCTAAATGGGAGAGAGGGATTTGATGAGTGGACTGTTTGATGGATAAGAAAGTGGTTGGATGATCACATCCAGAGGGTAGTGGCCAATGGCTCAGAGTCCCAACATGCATCAGTGACAAGTGCTGTCCCTCAGGGGTCCGTACAGGAACCAGTGTTCTTTAATATCTTCAGGAACAACAGAAAGGGATCAAGTGCACCCTCAGCAAATTTGCAGATGACACCAAGCTGAGTGGAGCAGCTGACACACCTGAAGGATGGGATGCCATCCACAAGGACCTGGACAAGCTCTAGGGGAGGGACCATGGGAATCTCATGAGGTTTAGTAAGACCAAGTGCAAGGTGCTGCACCTGGATCAGAGCTGTCCTGGTATCAGTGCAGGCTGGGGGATGAACAGATGGAGAGCAGCCCTGCTGAGAAGGACTCGGAGGTGCTGGTGGAGGAGAGGCTGGACATGACCCAGCAATGTGCACTCACAGCCCAGAAACCCAATTGTATCTTGGGCTGCATCAAAAGCAGTGTGGGCAGCAGGTCAAGGGAGGGGATTCTGCCCCTCTATTCTGCTCTGGTGAGACCCCACCTGGAGCACTGCATCCAGCTCTGGGGTTCCCAGAACAGGAAGAACACTGACCTGTTGGATGGAGCTCTTAGCAACCTTTTCTAGTTGGAGGTGTCCCTTTCCACTGCTAGTGTGATTGGAAATAGTTGATCTTTATGGTCTTCGTTAACCCAAACCATTCTGTGATTCTGTAATTCTGTGATTACTTTAACATATGATTCTTCTTGAAGGGATGATTTGAGACCATACAAATATTAGAGTAAAAGAAAAGGGCAGAGAAAAAGATTAATTTGGGCAGTCTTCCAGAGGGAGACTTTTGTTGATAGTGATCATTTGTTTGAAATTCGTCTCATTTAAAAATCAGTGGAAGATATTTGGGTGGCTTTGGTTTTGTTTTTTGGGGGTTTTGTAGTTTGTGGGTTGTGGTGGCTGTAGTGGTGTTTTGTTTGTTTGTTTTATTTTCCTTGCAAGTTTTTATTGTCAAAAGTATTAATCTAACAACTTAGAGTAAAAATTTTTGTAACATACTTTATAATGTCTGAAATTGTCTGAAAACACTAATGGTTTAAATATATGATCATTAATATGTGATCATTAATATGACATCATTAATATCATTAATTATTTAGAGGAGTGTAGAACCTAAAAGTATGTGGCAATGCAAAAAAGAAGGGAGTTAGGATGCATTAGAAATTGAAGGACTTCCTAGCAGACATGGCTTTTAGAAGATGCAGAACCATTAAATGTACCTTTGGTGGAAAGTGTTTTCCAGAATTTGACATGATGTCCTTGAGTGTCTGTGTGTCTAGATAAATTAGCCCAGATTGAATGATGGTATCCTGTTGCTTTTCTTAGACTGCAGAAAATAGAAGCTAGCTTGCTTGCTTGTTTGGTTTCTCTGCCCTCTGCCAGAGGGA